CCCCGCCCCGCCCACCCGTGATGCTGCTGCCGTGGGCGCCGTTGATGGCGTCCAGCAGGTTGTGGGCCTCGTCAAAGACCAGCACGCTGCCGCAGGGGTCCAGGCCCAGCGCCGCGCGCGCGTCAGGAGACAAAAGGGAGCTGCAGGTGGGGCGGGCGCCGAGAGGGGGGGCAGGGGGGGGGAGGGGGGTGCCGCTGGTCGCACGCGGAGCAGTGGGCTGAGGGGGGGCCGTGGCCGCACGGAGTGTGGTCGCTGCTGCGCACACGGCCAGCTGCGCGCGCGGAGCCGTTCTGCATGAGTGCTGGGTGGCCGGGGCGGCGCCGCAAACAGCGGCACGCCCTCCTCACGCGGGCGGCGGGGCGGGATAAGGGGGACGAGCCCGGCGGGCGCGCACCTGTACGGCGCGAGGATGATGTCGGCTTCCGGCACGGCCAGCCGCGCCCCGTAGTAGGGGCACACCTGCGGCGCCACATCAGCATATGAGGGTCGCGACTGCTTTGACGCCCCCGACACAAGCGGCATGACGGCAGGATTCCAGCCCTGTCGCACCGCATTTGCGCCTCGCGGCTGCACGATCGCCATTCACGGGTCAAAGGCGGTTTGACCGGGAGGTCTCCAGGCCGGTGCAGAACATACCTGCTGGCTGCGCCCCATACGTGCCAGCTCCTCCACATCCGCCGTCGCCGCCAGCACCGCGCCCTTGAAGCCCTCCATCGCGCCGCCCTCCCCCCCGCCGTCCCCGCGCCGTGGGAGGTACGGGCAGCCGCCGCCTCCCCCCGCGCCCTTCCCGCGCCGCCGCCGCGCCGCCGCCCCCAGCTGCGCCAGGCCGCTGGCGCCGCCGTCCGCGGGGCCCGCCGCTGCCGCGGCCTTGCGGCTCTTGGAGCCGCCGCCGGTGCGCTTGGTCTGCTGCAGATCCATGCAGCGCTCGTTGATGGCCGACAGGTCCCCTAGCTTGGTCACCTGCAAACGGCCAGATGACATGCCAACAGACGTTGGGGCGGCCGATACAGCTTGTCGACCCAGGGCAGCGAACCCGTTGCATTGGGATGCGTCGGCTACATCCCTTGTCCGCGGCCAGGCTTCAAACCTCTGTTACATAGGCGCGCCGCGATGCCGCCTCCAAATGCGTCCTTGCATGTGATTCGAGGCTACGGCCTCTGCACTACGGCCACCAAGTGCCTTGCAGCTGGGCCCCCCACATGTGGCGATGCGGATGCCTGTTCCCTAAAGGCGCCCGCTCAAAGCAGCTCGAGCTGCTTCCAGCGGCCCACCCACCACGGCCCCCCGCGCCCCAGCAGCGGCCGGCCACCGCCCCTGCCCACCCGCCTGCTCGTTGACGCACAGCGCGCGCCGCGACGCCACCGCCACCAGTGAAAGGGACCCCGCGAAACGCGTGCGCGCCAGCTCCCCGACAAACTGCGACAGCTGCGAGTGCGTCCGGCTGCAGAAGATCACCTGCGGCTTGCGCGGCGGCTGTGGCGGCGCGGCGGCGCGCCCCCGGCCGCCGCCGCCGTCGTCGCTGCTGCCGCTGCTGCTGGCAGCCGCGGTGCTTGGCCGCTTGGCGCCGGCGGGGCTCTCGCTGGGCACCAGGAACTCTGACAGGTCAGCGCCGTCGTCATCCAGCAGGGGGGTGAGAGCCCCTGGCCGCTGCTGCTGCTGCTGCTGCTGTCTCTGCTGCTGTTGTCTCTGCTGCTGTTGTCCTTGCTGCTGCCGCTGCTGCTGCCGCTGCTGCTGCCGCTGGTCCTGCGTCTGGATTCCGGAGGCGCAGACGCGGCAGCAGGATGAATGGGGGATGACGACACATCGCATTGCGATTCTCACAGGGGAACATGAAGCATAGAATGCATACGGGATTGCGTGTGGCGCTGCTTGGCAGGCCTCCAGCTTCGCACCCTGTGTGCATGCTGGCCACATGGTTGCAATGATGCATCCCACGCCCATCCCCGCACCTTGCCATGAAACCTGCCGTGGAGGGGGCCAGCCGGCGTGTCGGACGGCTGCGGGGGCTCCTGCGGCGCCCAGGGGTTGAACGCTCGCATCCACGACGGCAGGCCCGCGCTGGCGGCTGCGGCGCGAGGCGCGGAAGGGGCGGACAGGCGGGTGAATGCACGTTGATGACGTGCGTGGTCGCATGCGTGGCGGATGGGCGCGTCGCAAGCGTCCATTGCAGCGGCCAGCGGCGGCATGCACCGACACCTCGCAGGGTACTCACCCTGTGCCTCCTCCTTTCGTCGTTCCTCCTCGGCGCGCCGCTGATCCTCCAACCATTTGAGCGTGGCGCATATGATGCTGAGGGTCTTGCCAGTACCTGTGCAGGGTGCGCGCGGCCAGCAGTAGCAAATCGTCGGGCCGTCCGCCCAACCCGAGCGCCAGGAGGACCAGCCGCGCAAAGTGCTGCAGACGGTGTATATACCGCACACGCTGCTCTAGACTCACCAGTGGGGCTCTCAAATAATCCAATCTGCCGCTGCTGCAGCGTATCGTACAACGCCAGCATAAACTGGCGCTGGATCTCGTATGGCGCGTGCGGGAACGCTGCCACCACGCCATGCGGATCATCTTCCATCAGTAAATGTGACGGGATGATCACCACATCGCACGGGTGACGGGTCGATCTCACAGATCGGAGGCGCGCAGATCACATTGGTTTCAGCAGTTGTCTACACGAAGAGCTGGGTAGTCATGCGTCGCCATTTGATTGCAGGAAAAGGTACCAATGACGGTCGTTCACGTCCGTCTGAGTGCTTTGATGGAGTTTCGGCAGTGCAATGCATCGCACCCTGGAGGGTCAAAGCGGCCGCCCCATCGGCGCTCCCGGTCTTGAGGCTGTATAAGGACATTCTGGGTCACCGGCTGTCTGCTTTTCGCATTGGACAGGACAGGGAACCAGCCAGCATTTGCACTTTCTGGCGGGCGGAGAGCGGCCAAGCTGGCGCTCAGCCGGCCACACCCGCGCCAATGCCGGCCAGCAGCTGCAGCCGCGGCGTCATTTCCGGCGCCGCCCGCAACGCCGCAACCGCTGAGTCGCTTAGGGCTCGCCGCCGCCACCTCGAGCCGGGGGGATCAAAGAAGGACGGGGTGTGGGGGTGGCTGGGATAGGGTGCAGTCACAGTGACGATCGGAGGGTTTGGAAGGACCAAGGTGCTGGCTCAATCGCTCCAGCCCATCCCTGTCCCTGAGTTGCTACCAGCGCCCCTCCCGTGTGCGAACATGTCTGCGGCCCAACGACCTGCCAGGCCCCAGCCGCGGCAGTCCATGGGCCCAATACCCAAAGCACAAGCCGCGCAGAGACGCTCTCCCCCATGCCCCCTCGATATCGTTTGGCGCCTGCGCGCGGCCAGCAGCTCGCACCCAAGCGCTTCACCCCTGAAAGCGCCGCACGGGTCCCAGCTTCATTAAGGCAGGCGCGTTAGCGCGGAGGGCAGAAAAGACCGATACGCCTTGCGCCATGGGGCTGTTATACCTTGCACCAAGGGCCGGTTACGCCTGTAACCAAGTGCACGCCCCCTAGGCGCCTGACGCCCAGACGGGTCACTCCTAGCGCCCGCCGGCCGGCGCCTGCTGCGATATTCTCGACATCGCCGCAACCGAAGCCGCTGCCCTTATCTCTGGACTGGCCAGCCCCTTGAGGCTCCGCAGGAGGGTATTCAGATCTGGGTGGGCGGGGTGGGGGGGAGGAGGGCGCAGGGCAGCGGGAGCGGCGAGGACGCCGCTGCGTCGGCGGGCGTCGCGTCGGCTGATTGCACCGCAACGTACCGTACACACGCCACCCCCATGCTCGCGCGTCCTGCAGGGTGCGATCGGCCCCGGACGCGAGCAGGCGCGGCCAGTCGGGTGGGCGTGCGCAGGCGCCGCGTGGGGCCGTCCTCACCTGCCAATCCAAACTCGCTGAGCCGCCCGACCGCAGCCTCATTGACGGCCACCAGCACGCCGTTCTCGGCCGCCTGGCTCGAGCCTATCAAGTCTGCTATGACCGCGTTGTGACCACCGCTGCTGCCGCTGCCGCTGCCGACGCCGCCGCCGCTGCCGCTCGCCGCGCCGCCGCCGCCGTGGCCCGGCCGGGCGCCTGCCGGCATGAGCGCCGCGTATACCCGCGCCACCCTGACCAGCTGCGGCGCTGTGAGGCTGGGTACCAAGGCTTCGACCAGCGGCGCGGCTGCGGCGGCGAGCGCGCGGCCGCTCGGGTGCGCCGCGATGCGGTACGCCTCCAGGGTCAGCAGCAGCGAGGTGCGGTCAAGATCAGCCAGCTGCGGCTCGAGCGCCACGGCAAAGGCTGCGCGCGGGCGCGCGAGGGGGGGCGAAGGTAGGGGTTTCGGGCGCGGCGCGGGGCGGGGCGCTCAGCATGCGGAGCCGGCATGCGCATGGTTCGGTGCAGCGGCTCTGAGGGATCCGCGGCATAGCGCCTGGCTGCCCCCGCGGCCGCCGCGCCGGCCGTCCCCACCTTCCAGCGCCGCGTGGCTCGGCTGCGCGAGCTTGACCAGGCTGTGCGCCAGCGTCGCCAGCATCTGCGGCGGCGCCCCCGGCGCAAGCTCCAGCGCGCGTCGCGTGAGCGCCGCCAGCGGCGCCGCCGAGGTGTTGCGGCTGAGGTGCGCGGCGGTGAGCAGCATTGAGACGACTTTCATGTCGAACTCCGATGCGCGGGCGGCGACGGCCTGGGGCGCGGTTTGGGGGCGAAGCTGGGGTCGGGGTCGGCGCAGGCGAGAGCGTCGCGTCACCCCGTCAGCCTGGACTGCGGCCGCCCGGGAGGGCGGCCGGGGGTCGCAGTGATTGCGACGGCCGTCCACTGCTTCGGAGCGTCGTCGGCGCGGCACACGGCACCAGCGGCCGGCGGCGCGCCCCGCGGCCCCCGCCCCACGCCCCCGCGCGCCGCACCTCGTCGATCGCGCCCTGCAGCTCCGGCTGCAGCACCCCGGCCCGCGCCATGCCCCACGACAGCTGCGCGAGGTCGCCGCCCGACGCCGCGGCGATCCGCGCGCCGCCGTCGCTCAGGAGGTGGCGCGCAGCCTCCAATAAGAAGCGGTCGCTGAGGGTGTGGCCGGCCTTTGCCGCTGCATACACCAAATGCGCGATCGGCCTGGAGGGGAAACAAGGGGATGGGGGCGAGCGGGGCGCGTGGCGCTGGGGCAGGTGCTGGTGGGGGCGGCTGAAAGGCGGGGCATGTGTGGAGCAGCGCATAAGCGGGTGCGAATGATTGTGCCTGCCCTTTGTGCCCCCAGAGGCGACTGCGTGCTGCTACGGGCCGCCCACAGGGCCCCCGGCCGCCGCGCCGCTGGACGTGCAGCGGCGCCGCCCCGCGCCCCGGCGCACCTCGCCGGCAGGCTCGGCAGCGCCTTCTCGTGCAGCTGCTCAAGCTGCCGCATCAACCGGGCCAGCTGCCGCGCGCCCCTCGCGCCGCCGCCGGGCCCGTCGAC